CCTACCTGGAGTGGCCTCTTGAAGAAGAGCACCAGCAAATGTTTTGGGCAAACCTGAAGAGAGCCTTGAAGTCATAGAAGAAGTCAGCAGCTCCCATTTCAATATATTTCCGTGAAAGGCTCTATGTCAGTGTTTCTTCTTGCTAAGAATTTTTTCTTTCTTATTTTTCTCTCTAAATATGGCTGGCTTTGTTGTGTATAGAAATAATTGTCATGTTACTCACTGAAAAAGGCCCACTTTTTGCTTTCCAGTAATCTGATGCTCTGGTGTTTCAAAATCTCTGCCAATAACTATAATATTTGGAAGCTATATTGGACTATATATACTTTTCTAAATACATTTAGCTGAGTGTAGGGTATTTCTGTACTTTTTTCTGCTCTTACCACTATCCCCAACTCGTCTCTAACAATGCCACTGCAATTTAGAATTTAAATTAAAAGCCAAGGACTTCAATCAATACTCTCCTGTGTCCATCTCTTCCTGTGAATGCTTGTTTGTCCCTTTGCAGTCACCACCATTTTCCCTTTTACCTACCCCCAGAGATAACTGAACCTTCTATTTGTGGAGTATGAGACTGTGTTTCTAATGTGTGGGCTAGATGGTGTTGCAGACTGTCTCATTTCTTGTTTTGCTCTTCTACTTTGCAGAGCACATTTATGTAATCACTAGGCCATGAACCCCTTACTGCTCTACTTAACTTCCTTTCTAGAGGTTGAAGAAAATCACACTGACAAGAGGTATTTCCTCTCTCTACTTCAGTATGAGACATCTCCTAGATCTACTGTATTGCTCTTCACCAATTACAGAGGGAGTCTAGACAAGCAGGTAGATACAGATGTTCGTATTAAGATAGCTGGTCACACTCTGGGTGCCTGGATTTCTTGTGTTTTAGACATTCTTGTGGGAACCTGAAATTGTCTCTGAGGGGATTAAGTTAGGTGTTGTTTCTCTACCTTGGCACTTCCATGTTCCCCTTTGCTTGTATTGCTGGAGTTTAAGTACAGGAGAGTCTAGATGAATTTTGGTTAAACTTTAGATATGCAATTATTTTGTGGTGATAAACCAAAGCATTGGCAGATGGGCTGAGTGAGTATTTGAAAAACAGCAAAATTTCCTTATACAGAGATGTTTGTTAGTATACTTGTTCATATGCATATATATGTGTATGTGCTTATACATGTGTATATGTTCACACTCCTGTGTGTATCTGTACACATATCTACACATGAGATGGTAGTTTCTGTGGGTGTAGCCTGCAAACACCACTTTCAGTTCTACTTTCCTGTTATAATATTATCTCTAGGGCTAGTCTAAAGTCTGCTACAAGGGGATTTTTTGCTCACTGTCTTGGAGAAAAATAGCTCAGTAGCTAATCAAGGCTGAACTCCAGGTGGGTGATGAGTGAATCATCTGAGAGCAAACAATGAGCATTGATAAAACAGATTAGGAGACTGTGTGCCTAGAGGTAAGAAGGGAAATAAGTCTTGCTGGTCATTACAAAGAGAGAGTCAGAGAGATGTAGGAGAAGCCTTAGTTTTCATATGGTACACTCTTACTATGGACCCAGACTTTTTTGGTTTGGCACGTTTTAAAAGGAGCGATAGTGTTCCTGCTTTTACACCAATCAGATCACCTAGGTGGGAATTCCCCTGCTCACATTATCAAGGTTTAAAGGTGAAGTGGAAATGAAACAGCAGCATAAGAGGAAGCTGGGTAAAGAATGATGAACAAGAGAGAGATGAAACACAACATGGGTTAACTGGCATGCAGGCACCAGAGCTGGAGCTGGCATCTCTGGGGATCTTTTCAGCACAGAGGTGAGTTTTCAGGTAGGTGAAGGCTGGAGATGTAGGGAAAGACAGTTGAGCTGCAATGCCAGAGCAAGAAGCAAGGAGAGAGCACTGGGAAGAGGCTATCTAATCTCTGCTACCGAGTCCTGCTCTGCATGGGGGTTTGACGGTGCTCAGGGCTGCTGAGAACGAGTGTGGGGTCGGGAGGGATTTCTGTCACCAGCAGAAGTGGAGTAGGAAGGTGCAATCACAGGCAGCTGGCAGGTATGCATGGCAGGCAGGCAACAAAGACTTGCCAGGAGAGCTGGGACATGCTGATGGGAACAGTGTCCTTTGGGAAAGGGGAGGGAGGAAAGCAGCAAATGAAAAAGACAAATTGGGTCAGACTGCCTCATTTCTGCTCAGTTTCCTTGTGGGAGGGTGCCTTGTTTGTACTTTGTCCTGTTTGTATGTTGTCCCACTTGTATATTGATACCAGCTGCCCAGGGAAGGCTGGGTGTGAAGGTGGGCTGCCTTGGTTTCAGGAATTCAACCAGGAAAGAGCTCATCGAACAATGGCCTCAGGACTTCAGCTACCTTCTCACCTAACTCGGACCTGTTACACACTCTCTGTGTAGGAAACAAGAAGAGGCATTCCCATGTATGTGTGTGGATGTGTGTATGCACATACATACTGTTAGGGCAGTGCTAGTGGGTGATAACTAGGGCATATGTAACCCACACACAACCATGTGGAGAGCAGGAACTTTCCCCAGTCTGCTTGTAGTTTGACTCCTTCATCAACCAGTGACTATCCCACTGCAGAGTCCATAGCACTGCTCAAATTTACCAGCCCACATTTACCTGGATAGTGCTCCCCAAGCTAGAATCAATTTGTGCATTATTGGCACTTACATTAACCTTTTGCATTTGTTAGCATTTATAGAACCTCATTCTGTTGTCAGTCATGGTTTTGTTTAAGAATATGCACATATTTCCTCAAATACATCTACTGACATGACCCAGAGAAGACAGTCCTGAGCACGTCTAATGGCTTGGGCCCTTTGTCCATAACCCAGAAATATTTTAAATGTCTGGTTTGTCACAGCATCTTATGGTATAATGGCATCTGTGCAAGTTTCTGTATTTTTATTTGCATTTTAATTTCTCTGTGGCTTTTTAGTTACCAGCACAAGGGGAAAAAGTGATTCCTTGATAGGGTAATGATATAGGACTGTCTGTATGTCTGAGTGGGTGTGGAGATGCCTGAATTGATCCTGTAAGTCAGGTTCTTAAGCAGAATCATTAGAGATGAATGGGAAGGGAAAGAGACTGGTTGAAAATTGAATGAGGGTGGGAATGGGATTTCTCTAAGTGTCTGCTCAGATTACATATGAGCAAAAAACTGGAAAAGAAGCTCACAGAACTGACAATAAAGAAAAGCATCCTGAACCACTAAATGGAGTTTAGTCCTGCAGTCCCTGGATGGTTTCAGGTTGGTGAGGTGGAGAGCCATTAGGCTCAGCTGGTATTTTCTGTGGAGTACCTTCCCAGTTTCCTTCTGTGCTGCAATTTACCACCTATAAATAACGTATCTATAGATAGCTTTTGATTGATCAGGTCACCTGTTTGTTTCTTTTTCTAACAGTAAGCATTTTGATGGTAACATTAAATTTACCACTTAAATTTGTTACTAATGAAACTCATGTTACCTGTAGCTTTGCTCCTCCAGCCTACAGCACTGTGTTATCCAGTTAGACTTGTGAGACTGAAAAAAGCCCTCTAAAAGAGCCTCAGATGGACAGCAGATGAGTCTAGCTACAGATTACAATTCTTTGTGTGGGATTCACATGGAAAATTATCTAGATATCTAAACTATGTTACTCCATTTTAAGTCAATGGGGCCAATTCTCTTAGACTCAATACATCTTAATCTGAGTGTCTAAGACACGTGATAAGAATTGCCCCTAAAAGACATTATTTCTCTCTGTTGACTTTGGAGGACATGGTGGATGACTAGCTCAGCTGTGGGCATCTAAAGACAGGGAAGACAACTGTGTCCTTCAAGATTCAAAGCTCTATATCAGAGAGAGACAGATAAAAGGCAAATAACACAAGAAGTCAAAATGTTTACAGTCCTCCAGGTGGGAAGAGATGGAATGATTGAAAAAATTATCCACAACTTTTCCTCCCCTCTCCATGTGCTCAAACCATCTCAGTCAACTCTGCCACTTTTGAATAATCTTAAGCAACTATGGCTAAAAATAATGCAACTGGAAGGGCAGGACTTATCTATATGAACTTGTATGTGTGGGTCAGCTACTGTAAAACAAATCAGAATATTAATTTAAAGTACAGGAGATCTTCTGCACAGAGTCTCAGTGGGATGACTAATGGAGAAAGTAGTTCTCAGTGAGCCAGTCTAACCTGATTAACCTGATACATAGTTCACGATTTTGTGAACCTGTTCATTGGCCTCCTTGGGGTTGGTTCATTCTTTTCAACCTTGGTAAGATACCTACTGAGGTAGGGGGGGTTGTGACACACGAGACAAAGTTATATTTTAAAAATGTTCTTTGATCCTTGTCAAAAAAGGTTATAATTCAATATGTTATAAGGGTTTTAAAAGGAAAAGAGCTCTCTCAGGCTTCAAAAATTGTTTTTCCAACTCCTCAGAAGGATAGAAGAGCTAAAGTCACCTTATTGGGAGTAAGGACGAGCTGGATATTGCAGCAAGTTCTGTAACAAAAAAAAGCCATGTCAAATCAGTATTATAAAAGGCATGACTGTGAGAGGAAAGTGAAGTGACACAGGACCCACATCTGTGTACTTTTTCTTGAATCATTTGAGTCCAGAAGATCAGGAATAGTCTGTGGGCTGGAAAAAGCTATCTAGTTCAGACAGCTGATCTGATCTGAAGGAGGCTCCAAAGGCCCCTGGCTCTTCCTTGTGGCTTGGCCTGATCTTCTCTCTGCCAGAGATGTCCAAAACAGGAAAAGGCACTGGCAGAGAAGAAGGATGTGGCAGTAAAAGGAAGAGCTAAGAGTCAGTAGGCAACAATGGTCAGTTTTACAAGCTCAAGTTTTATTAGCAAGTACTGGACTGATGGGAACATGATAAAGATGGCCTATGAATTTATCCAGGCGAGTATTTTTTTCCCTGCTCCTAGCACATTCACAGGTAGAGAAAGGCAGATAAAATGAGGAATGGACTGAAACAAAGGCATTCCTCTTCTCCCCATTGTCAGAACTGGCATTAGACATATACTTGAAATTAGTATTAGATGTGAATGATTCTATGTACTGTAAGATGCTGACTCTTCTGATGTAACCAGGATTTGAAATACACACAGGAGACTCCCTGTAGTAAAAAATGAATACACAAAATAATATTCACAGACTCAGAAAAAAAAGACCTGAGGTGTGACAGAGCGGGCAGGTATGAAGACTCTGTACTAAACAGGAGGAGGATGAGAGTAGTTGTGCTTATGCAGATGTTTAGCTGACTCTGCAAAAAATTTGTGGAGCTCTTAATTGATTTGATAGTCTTCATGCCAAATTTAGAAATCACAGGGGAAAAACAAAGAGTAAAATCAATATACATAGCCTTTAACAAATGATTTTGAAATATTTGTGAATAGTATGCCTTTTTTAATGGATCCGTTTCATCTCTGCATTGTGTTAAAAACAAATACATTTACAGTGTTTTGACAGAACAGTGTAAGATATATTTTAGATATAACCAAAATGCACCTTCCTAAAATCCATCTTATATTTGCTCTGATTATATTTTGTATTTTAGGTGAAATAATGACTAAACACAGCTGGCAAGCGTGGGCCATCTACATGCTCTTAGCTGCAAACCTCTCCGAACAGCAAGCGCTGAAGCAGGCTTGTCCTTCATGCAATGATGCTCAGCTTTGCAACTGCTCTTCCATGGGCTTGGACTTCATTCCCCCAGGGCTCACTGCCAAAATCACTATGTTAAACCTGGCCCACAACAGGATAAAGCACATCCGATCCCAGGACCTGCAGCAGGCTGTGAACCTGAGAGCCCTGCTGCTGCAGTCCAACAGAATCAGCTCCATAGATGAAGACTCATTTCAGTCCCTGGCGAAACTGGAGCTCTTGGACTTATCAAATAACAGCTTGGCTCACTTGTCCCCTGTGTGGTTTGGGCACCTTTTTTCGCTCCAGCACCTCCACCTTCAAGGCAATTTCTACGGAGACCTGGGAGAAAGCTCTCCCTTTTCTAGTCTGAGGAACCTGAGCTCTCTCCGCCTGGGCAACCCACGGTTCTCTGTGATAAGGCAAGGGAACTTTGAGGGCATTGAGCTTCTCAACAAGTTGTGGATTGATGGTGGTAATCTCAGTCAGTATGAGCAGGGAAGTTTGAAATTGATTAAGAAGATAAATCACATGGTCATAAACCTAAAAAATATTAATATATTCTCAGAAATTGTTAGGGACCTTCTACACTCTGTGACTTGGCTAGAAGTGAGAAGAATAGCATTCAGTACCTCTGCTGAAATGCAACTTTTGAGAGTCATGTCTTCTTCTTTCGCAAAGAAAATTTCTTTTAAAGAGACCTTATTAACAGATGCCACTGTGCCTGAGATTGTCAGCATTTTAGAAGACATGCCAAAATTAGTGGAGGTGGAGCTAATAGACTGTAGACTCTTGGGAACTGGACAATGGGAAATGCAGATTCAAGCAAACCAATCACAGACCCTTAGAGTTCTCACAATACAGAAATTATCTATAGAAGAATTTTTCTTGTTTACAGATCTTCAGACTGTGCAAGATCTACTATTTCTTTTTACCAGAGTCACAGTTCGAAACACCAAAGTATTTTTGGTCCCATGCAGAATTTCCCAACATCTTCAGTCATTAGAGTACCTTGACCTTAGTGCTAATTTGCTTGGAGACCAGAGTTTAGAGCATTCAGCCTGTCAGGGTGGATGGCCATCACTACAAACTCTAAATTTAAGTCAGAATTCACTGGGTGACTTAGAAATGACAGGTAGAAGTTTGTCTCATCTAAGAAACCTAATTGTTTTAGACATTAGCCAAAACAATTTTGGTGAGATTCCAGATAAATGCAAATGGCCAAAAAACCTGAAATATTTAAACCTCTCCAGCACTCAAATTCCTAAAGTAACGGCCTGCATTCCCTCAGAGCTGGAAGTTTTGGATGTTAGTGCTAACAACCTGAAGGAGTTTGGACTGCAGCTCCCATTTCTGAAAGAGCTGTACCTCGCAAAAAACCAGCTGAAGACCCTGCCTGGTGCTGCACCCATTCCAAACTTAGTGCTCATGTCAGTCAGGAGAAACAAGCTCAACAGTTTCTCCAAGGAAGAGTTTGAGTCCTTCAAGAGAATGGAGCTGCTGGATGCCGGCGACAACAACTTCATCTGCTCCTGTGAATTCCTCTCCTTCATCCACCACCAGGCTGGGATATCCCAGGTGCTGGTGGGGTGGCCAGACAGGTATGTCTGCGACTCTCCGCTGGCAGTGAGAGGGGCCCAGGTTGGAGCTGTACACCTCTCCCTGATGGAGTGCCACAGGTCCCTCGTGGTGTCATTGATCTGCATCCTGGTGTTCCTGGTCATCCTCATCTTTGTAGTTGTTGGCTACAAGTACCACGCGGTCTGGTACCTTAGGATGACCTGGGCGTGGCTCCAAGCCAAGCGGAAGCCCAAGCGAGCCCCACCCAAGGACATCTGCTATGACGCTTTTGTCTCCTACAGTGAGAACGACTCCAACTGGGTGGAAAACATAATGGTGCGGGAGCTGGAGCAGGCCTGCCCTCCCTTTCGCCTCTGCCTCCATAAGCGGGACTTTGTGCCTGGGAAGTGGATTGTGGACAACATCATTGACTCCATTGAGAAGAGCCACAAAACACTCTTTGTGCTGTCCGAGCACTTTGTGCAGAGCGAGTGGTGCAAATACGAGCTGGACTTCTCACATTTCCGCCTCTTTGATGAGAACAACGATGCGGCGATTCTTGTCCTCCTGGAGCCCATCCAGAGCAAAACGATTCCCAAGAGGTTCTGCAAGCTGCGGAAGATCATGAACACAAAGACCTACCTGGAGTGGCCTCTTGAAGAAGAGCACCAGCAAATGTTTTGG